ACACAAGAAAAACTTCCCTCCTAAATTCTGTTAGGATTTTGGATAATTTTTGCACAGTAATAAGCACTGAGTTGCTCTTTGGGCTTCTCAAAAGGGAAAAGTTAACTCAAAGATTGTAAACTTAAGTATTCCAGCATGTTGCTGACTTAGGTGGATAGTCATACCTCAAAAAGTAGGTGAGAAATGGCTTCCATTGTCCCAGGCTGTCAAATACTAATGACAGAAGAGCTCACTCACGTGCCAAAATTCACTTTTATCCTAGTTTTTCAGTGCGTTAATATCTGTCACTTATATTTTAAAACTCATATTTACGAACACTACTCTAACTTCGGTGACACTGAATTGTGGGATTGAAGCTTTTTGCTTATTGTAGTATTTATTGCACTACTTAATTCAGTAAATATATAAAAGTAGACTTCAATTTATTTTTATATGATTTTACATGTTTTTACCAGCAGTCTTGTATGTGAAATTTACCTTGGTAACTGAGATGTCATGCTAAGGACCAATAAAGTCTCCCTGAACAAGAAAAAAAAAAGAGAGAGAGAGAGATCCTGGCCTAATAGAGTCAGATTCCAAAGTCCCCTCGCCCAGCCCACAGGCATTTTACCTGCCTGGGAACTTCAGCTCCTTTTCAGAGGTGGGTCTCCCTGTTCTTTATGTTGGCATGAAAACAATTAATAATTTAAATCCTGCCCATTAAAAAACAAGAAATAATGTATAAATATAATAGTGTAGTAATAAATTTAAAAGTCGATCCAGCTGGGCACTGTTCCCAGACTACCAGCTGAGCAGAAACACAAATAAGTAAAATAGAAGAAAAACTGCTATATAATGCAAATGGCTGCAATCTCATTGTTTCCTGCTACTCTTTATTGCAAATATATAGCATTGAAGTTACATTACGGATAAATAGGTTTTGTGGGCTAACCTGGAGACCTAATCACTGTTTTTATAACGTTATTTCTATGGGGAGAAAAGTGTATTCCATATTACAAACAGATGGGTAGCAAGCAAATTGGGGGTTGCATAATAGGTTTGTAAATTGGGAGCCTCCTGGGATTTTAACCTGTAGATGGATGTTTTGTATTCAGGGCTAGTGATAGATGAAAATCAGAGGACTCTCAGAATCCCCCCTCCCCCTCAAGTCCTTGCTGTCCTTTCAACCTCGAGAGACTGTGTCTCTGGGGTGCTCATCCTGGCCCAGCCCTACCCTCCCCAACCCCTGCTGAGGCCCCAGGAAGCCAGGAGGAACCCTGAATGTCTTTACCCTTTCACACCTTATTAAGTGGGTAGTTAGGGTTCATAGGAGGCCTCGCAGCAGGGTGGCCAAGTGGGTGGCTCTGTAGGCAGACTTCTGTCACTTGTGGCTGTGACGTTGGCATGTTATTGCACTTCTCTGAGCCTCTGTTTTGTGCCTATAGAATGAGGTGGTTGGGAGGACTAACGTGGGAGTGCCACCTGTAAGCACGCAGACCAGAGCCTGGGATGGGGCAGTGTTCCCTCCTTGCATGTGCATGCTGAGCTAGTTATTCAGGGATATTTGGGTTTAGCCAGATTTCCGTGAACTCGGGAAGCAAACCCATACTATGAAAATACTTTCTGAACTCCAAACAGCAAACTTAGAAACAAGGGCCTGGAACCTTTCTGTTCAGGAGTTCAAGCCTGGATAGGTTTTGAACATACTTTTTCGTGAGCTGGGGGTGGGGGGAGGGCGTGGTCCGTGTACTTACATAGTTGAACGGACAACATCAAAGTCGGTTATTGTTTTGAATAGATTAAGCTTTACAGCAGATTTCATAGAAACTAATAAGAACAAGCTTCTTAACTAGTTTTTTTTCACTAAAGTATTTCCACATACTGTGTTTTTCACCTAAGGAAAATGGTTTTGTTTTTTGTTTTTTTTTTTAATTTTTGGTTTGGGTTTTGTTTTGTGTTCTTCAGACAGTCTTTTCTTTGCATTTGAGCAGGTTCAATTTCCTGATTTGCAAATAGGGGAGCGCCTACATATTGGCCTTACGGTGTAGGCATGAGATCAGCTGGAAATAAGGACTTGGAAAAAGAAAAGAGTGATTAGACGTCTTAGGGCTTTTGGGTAGACCCTCAGTAGAGGATGGGGTCGTAGCCGTATCCACAGAGGAAGGGAAGCAAATCTGTCGCTTGCTGTTCTCTCCAGAATGTGCTCATTCTAATCCAAATCCAATTTTCCTCTTGTCTGTGGCCTGAAGAAATTGAAATGAAGCCACTTAGATCAGCCTACCTGAGAGCACCTCACTGAGGATCAGCCTCACCGAGAGTTGTGTTCGACCGTGAGATTTTAATTTCATTTGGACAAAGGTTTAAGTGTCTGTGCCACCTGACCATTAGATTTTGTGATACATAGGAGTTAGAATGATAGCTTTCGGAAGGGATAATTTCGAAACAACTGCTTTTATTTTACTAAAATGTGGGGGCTATAAGATCTGCTCCCCCTCCTTAGGAAATTTGAATGTGTGGGTAACATGCTGTCATGAAGACTTTATAATCTGCAATATTGGAGAAGTAATAAGATGCTGTTGTTGGTTGACCATCTGGTTGTACATTCTTGGTGTCACGGTTTGCTGTTTTATTTTTTTAAATTTATTTTTACTGGTGAGAAGCAAGAAATGGGAGTTTAGAAATTTCAGAGGTGTTTTAGAAGCAAGAAATTTATGTTTAGATGCTTAACATGGTTAGATTTTGTTTCTACCTTGTACAAAATAGGAAGTAAAAGGTTCGCTATATGTATTTTCCTTTTTTTTTCCCTAAAAGATAAACTGAAAACTTCTAATCGGCTCCCTCTCTGGCCCCAGATTTGAACTTTTAGCTTACATTAAAAACAGTCTCTTTATCATAAGTAGGAATTAAACATACATTAGAAGAAAACTTTAGAAAGAAAAATCACCCACAGAAAGGACCTATAGAGATTTCATATTTCATCCATCCATTCAAAAATATTTATTGAAACCCTAGTATTTGCATATCATGCTGCCAGACACTGAGGGATTTGCTGAAGAAATCTTAAAGACATTCTCCCTTCCTCTGAGGAGCTTAGAGCTTCCTTGGGTGGGGGAGAAATGACACCAACATATGAAACAGTTAAGTTGTAATTCAACACAGCATATGATTAAATACCAAAATGTGTGGTTCCGACAAGAAATGCTATAGGAGTTCAGCAAAGGGGGTGATAACTCAGTGGCACTACTGTGTTCTGCCTGCAAATTGGCAAATTGCAGCAGTATTTGTGTGAAATATTTTACACTTGTTTTTTTGGCAGCCTTAGGCCTTGACTTCCAGGCAGCATTAAGAGCCCACGACAATATTTGTACTCCATTCGCTCTAGAACTGGCTTTGTTGTTGTTGTTTTGTTTTTCAAATAGACAGAGGGAGCGTCTTATTCAAACCAGAGTGCCCAAGAGAGGCCGGTAGTTTTGACAGTCCTAATCTCTTTCAAATCCAGAATAAGGAACCAGCGTCGTCATCCTGTTTTTCAATCCAGCCCCACTTGTCCCTCTGTGGCCGACTCTCCCTGACCCCGACAGGCGGTTTAATTTGAACTTAATGTCCGTGACGGATGAGCTAGCCGTCAAGGGCCGGATGAATTGATGGCTTTGGAAAACTGCTGATGAAAATCCCCACGGTCAGGACGTTGGAAAAGGAGCCCACACAGATGTAGGGGAGTTTGGACACAAATGTGCTCCTAGCAAACAGGGTTCCCCAACACTTGCTCAAAGCACTGTGCCCGAGGATGATGTTTAATGAAACTCACCAGCTTCCTGTTCTATTTTGGTCATATTCAAATTAGCACAGAGCTCAAAAACGAAGCCATGGGGCCTACATTCTTACAAATTGATAAAAGGAGAGAAGAGGAAGAAGAGGAAGTAAAAATGTTTGTGAAGTCAGATACTCTTTCGGGGACCACATCCCGCCCCACTCTGACCCTTTGAGGGACTCCCCACAGACGCATGCCTTTATCACTTCATTGCTTTTCAATCTTGTGATTAATGAATTTTCCACTTCTTTTCAAACTCACTGTCACTGGTTCTCCTCTACCCCTCCATTTTAACCTCAGGCCTTGAGGAGGCATAGGTAACAGAGATATTTTGGTCTCTTCTTGATATCATCCAGTGGAATGTTTGTGGAGTTCAACACCTTTGAGAATACCATGGCCCTTGCTGTTCATTCTTTTTGTCGGGTTGCTGGCCCTTCCGGTGAGGCAGGAGTTCCCAAGTTAGCGTGACCTAGAGTGGCCAAGACATCCAGCAGAGGAGCGCTCTCCTCCTTTAGCTCCTGGTCATGTTTACTGGAGGAATTGGCCCCGGCCACAGCTTAAGATTTATTTGGGACATCTTCTGCACTGACAGACTTGGGAAAGTGGCCCTGGAAAGTGTTGCACCCATATCTTTTGATATAATTGGGTGTCTGTCTAAATAAATGTTATGTAGCAGATGGTTATGGAATGGCTTATCACATTCTTGGGAAGACTCTGCGCTTGAAATATTTATATTTAATTATCAGACTACAAAGCACAAGGCAGCTTTATTTTTTTCTTAATAACAAATAGATTTCCACAGTAGGTTGATATTCTGGGAATGAACCACAAACCTAAAATCTATACAATATGTAAACCCTTTCTTGGGCTGTCCTTTGCACCGGGTTTTTCTCAAAGGGAGCCCTTTAATTTTAGAATCCACTAGAGGATGTGCTTTGGGTGTATTTGGCAACGTCATCCTGAGAGAGGCCGCGGGAGCCGAAGTTCAGCGTGTTGTCTACATTTGTTTTCTGCTCGTAGACGTGATGGAAAAAACGCTCTGCTGTTGTCCTGTTGCTTTTCATGGTTTTAGCATCACGTTCCCATTCTCGCTCAAAATCAATAATCCTCTGCCCAAAGCCTGGCATTCTGTACTGAAGCCAAGTATGAGAAGTTTTAACTAATGCATGTGTGGGGTTGCTGTTTTGTTGCCTTTTCCTTTTTTTGATAGGTGTACTTTTAAAGAAGATTGTTTACATCCAGAGAACTTTGAAAACTGGCTGGATATTTCATCGGGAGCAAAAAAGTGCCCTCAAATTAACCTATTTCGAAGCAGTAAAGATAAGGTAAGAGGAAAGATTTTAATTTGTCTCTACTGTCTCATTTTGCACAACTGATGCTAACTTCCTTCTGTGTGTGAAATATCTACTAGCATTAAAGAAGCTTAGTTAGGAGAGTCCATTCATTTAGTTACTAATATTGAGTGCCTGGCAGATGCCATACATTCTGCGAGATGCTAAGGAAATAGCAGAGAACAAGACATACGGCGAGCCTGCCCTCATGGAGTTTGTCATCTTATAGACCTCGTTCATTGAATTTAAAGAAAAAAATGGACTATTAATGTAGTAGAAAAAGGTATTGATAAAAAAAAAGGAGGAAAAAAGTTCAGACTCACGGTCAACAAGATTCCTTAAATGTGACTTAAGGGTAGAATTTTATTTTAGGGTCCTTTCCCTAATTTGTGCAGGCTTCTCCTGATAACTATCTTACATACATGGCTTTAAGCAGTACTGGGAGAGAGGGTAAGAAACCACTACAGGCAGTGATTATCATGAGTGGGGTTCCTTGGCAAGCCAGGGGGCTCTTGTTACGACTGTACCACCATTGGTAGCTCTTCAGCCCTATCACTGGATGAGAGAGAGGACACAATGAGCAGCATATGACTGGAGCATCTTCTGATTCACACACCATCCTTACCCTATGGGAATATGGAATTCCTGCCTTGTGATCTCAGTGGTGCTGTAAGGAGACATTTTCTCCCTAATTATAGTTCTTGTATTATGAATAATTGGACAGAATCCCCATCAGCAGCCAGTTGACCTGTCTGTCAAGCTCACTCTGTTTTATCTGAATGCCACATTAACAAGGAAATGGGCCACTTTCTCTTTTCCTGTACACTTTACCATTTCAAATAGCAAGAACCATACCACTTAAGATGATTTAACATTTAATAAAGGAGAGCCAGAGCATTTAATGAGTGATAAATAATAAAAGAATAAAGCTTTCAAGTCATAACTGATCAGAACTTAAGGATTTAAAGTTATTTGGCTGTTGTCACTTTCTATTGTCTTCCGGCAGGTTGGGGGGGGGCAGTGAAGAAAGAGCTTTCAAAGCCTTCATCCAAACCTCCACCAGCCCTGAGTCAGAGTGAAAAAAATGTGTGAAGAAGACGCTTAGGTATTTCAGCATAGGTGTGGTCAAAATTTTCTCTTATCAGTCTGAAAAATAGCTAACTTTGGTGCTGATAGAGAATGATAAAAAAGAAATACCATGATGTTTGAATATACCCCGGACTCTTGATAAATGGTTAAGATTATCCAAGATTTTTGTTTTAATCATTTTGAAAATTTTAAGGGTGATACTTCAGCTAAATGTAGTAAGAGAAAGTAACTTGTTGATTATATAAAAGATGCTGCCTACACAATCTGCTTACCAATCTTTGGGTTCACTGGTATAAATTAATCACCATTTCTATCTAGTTTGGAACGTTGCGAAAAATATTTACCACCCAAACAACCACTAGTGCTTTCTTCTCTACCCTGAGTCCCACTGTGGTTTACCCAAATCCCTGTAGAACCTTCCCACACAACCATTACCTCGCTCTCCAACTTACCATCACTCTCAAGGTAAAGGAGATAAGAATTTAGTAATCTTGGAAACCAACTTTAGACCAATTATTTTAATAACGTTGATAAAACATGTCATGCCATCTCTTAGTCATATTGTTTCAAAATATTTCCTACTTTTATGGTCATCTGTGACTTACCTGAAAGTTCCAGATCTTTGTTGATTTAAATAATACCTGACCCTGATCTACAGAGATGGTAGTCTATAGCTCGGGTCCAAGAGTGTTGGCTACCTGCCCGTCACATGCCTAGTAACATTCTAGTAACTTTCTGAGTACCAAAAGACCCTGATATAATGCAGAGCCTCTGCTTCCAAGAAGCACCATCTCTTTACACAAAACAATTAGAAGATTGTATATCCTCATCCTCATTACAGAATCGGCATTAACAAGAAATAATTGGAGCAATTCCAGTTGGCTTGGAGGCATTTCGTGAGGTTTTGTTGAGCAAAAACAGCAAGATGCAGAAAAGTATGTGTGGCATGATCTTATATTGATCGAAAACTCAATATATGCTATTGATATATATAGCATATATGATATGCTATTGATATAGCATGATCTACTGTATATGTTTATGTCTCTATATAATTATTTGCGCATGAAGAAGAATATGAAAGAATTCTTACTAGGTCGTGAACATGGGCTCTCCTGCTGGTGTGACTGATGATGTGGTGAGAGGGAAGGCTGAGACAAGTAGGAAAAAAAAAAAAAGAAGAAAAATGAAATTCTCACATACACAAACACAAAAAAAGGATGTGTGACATCCCGTTTTTGCATTATGCAAAATTGTTTGTATACTTATAAAGAGATTGTAACAATCAGGGAAAATGGCTAATACTGATAAAAACAGAAAAGACAGAGAAATAGAAGTATTTCCTACAAACAGCAGGACTCTTAAGGCAGAGACACTAGAAACATTCTTTTACAAATCAGAATGAAAACAAGGAATTCCACCATCACTGATACAAACCAGCATTGTTTTTAAACTTGTGTCTAGTGCCGTAATACAAGAGACAAGTAATATAAATAACTATGGAAAGGAATAGATTAAAAAATGTCACTATTTGCTCATCTTAAGTGGTTGTGTATCTTCCAAATCTAAATATATTAGCTTTTAAAACTATTCAAATTAGAAGTAAAAGTGCTAAATGTTCAATAAACATTCAAATATCAGTAACGTTCGGTGAGGTAAAGGAGTTAAGGTCAATTAATAAAAGATCCCATTCATTAAGAACAACCAAAACACTCAGGCATAAACTTAGGGGGTGAGGTGTATACCCTATATTTTAAAATCACTTTTACTAGAAGATACCTGTTGAAGACAGCTACCACAAATAGTAATTTGGGCTATGCAATAGCTTGCTTTAAGCAATTCTAACAGTAACTAGTGGGGCAGTGGTCTATTGAGGCTGTTTATAACTCATGATAGGGAAACCTTACCAATTAAAAACATAAGCATAAATAAAAATAAAAACACACAAAGTATTTTCTTGGAAGATAGGAAAAACATCTTGACTATATCCAGACACATACTACATTTCTGGGCAGGAAGATACCATAAAAATGTCATTCCTTCCTCAACCTATTTTCTAGATTGCATGTCATCCCAGTGAAGATTTGAATAGACTTTTTCTTAAAAGTCATTTAAGATCAACTGGAATAATATGAACTGGTCAAGAATATCCAAAATGTATTTTGAAAAAACAAATGTATTTAAGCTAGACCATTCCCATATGATTATGAACTTGTAGATAGTGACAATAACTCAACCCATGATTCTGTTTAAAAGTAAGAATGTAGATCGTGGGAATAGGCTAGAAACCTCAGAAATAAATGTAAAAATTGTAAAGATCAGATATCATAAAATAAGAGGAAACGAAAGAATTATTTCATAAAAGGTGCTGAGATAACAGACTTACAATATGGAAACAACTTAATTCACATTTTACATTAAATATAAAAATTTAAGCTAATTAAGAAGTAATAAAAAGCTAACACATAAAAACAGAAAATAGAAATAGGTACCAGATAATTGGAAATATAATTTTCTTAGCTCTGAAGCAATGTAGTATGTAACAACAAAGGAAAAATATTCATATACTTGACATTTAAAAATATACAACAAAAAAGATAATTACAGCACAATTCAGGAAAACATTTGCAACAGGCAAGATATTCATTGCAAGATATTAAAACCAGGAGAAATTAAAAAGAAAAATACCAGGACACCAAAGAGTGGGCAAAAGCGTACATTCTCACAAGAGGAGGTTTAGAGAGTTAGACATAGTTAGTGGAATATGTTCACGTCACTAATTATCTAATAAATACAAATTAAAGTGATAAGATTTGCTAACACCTGGCATTGGCAATGCCAATTAGCACAGCCTTTGTGGAGAGCAATTTGGTGTTCTGTTTCATAAGTCATAAGTATATTCATTCTATTTGAAACACTAATTCCAGGCTTTGAATTCTGAAGAAGTAACTTGAAAGAAGCAAAACTGTAAGCATGCGGATGCCATTGCAGTAGCTTTGTAGACTGAGAAACCTAGAAATAAAGAAACTGTTTGGCAATAAGCAGAATGGTTAAGTAAAATAAGGTCTGCTACCTGCTAGAATGTTATGCAGCAAGCTCTCTGGTGCCGTGGACATGACTAGCTAATTGACACTCAAACTTTCTATCTCATCTGATTCTTTGTGTCTTCATTCCCTCTCTATCCAGCTTAGCTGGAGAAGGAACTATATTCCTAGTTGGAGAACCTCGTAAGGATTCCCAAGTTGGGTTTATTAAGCCAAGGCGTCAGGTTTTATCTATGCTTGCCTGGAACCCACACCCACACAAAAATACCTTCAGCTCCCTGGCTACCCTCTCCTTCCACTGCACTTGAAAAAACTTGCTATTTTCGGATCAACTCAACCTGGCTTCTGCCCCAGGGTTCCCCTGTAACTGTTCTTGCTGAGGTCACTAGCGAACTCCTTGTAGGCATCCAGCAGACACTATAAGTCCTCCTCTTACTTGGTCTGTTGGCTGTGTTCTTGAAACCCCCTCTCCCGTCGCCCTCCCTCCCTTGGCACACCCTGTCCATGCTTACTTCCTTCTCTCTGGTCATGCCTCAGCCTCCCTTGCTGGCTTCATCTCTCCCTGACTCTAAATACTGGAGTTGTTTTAGACCCAGTTTGGGCTCTTCTTGTCTTTAGCTCTCTACTTTGTCTATAGACCATTTTATCCACTCCCTTGTCTTTATATCTCATTTCTGTGTTCATGTCTCCTTTATCTCTAGCCCAGATTGCTCCTCTGAGTTCCAGGCCCATATCTAACTTGACCTATCTCTTGATTATTACACAAGTATCTTGAACTAAACACAACCAAAATTGAAATCTTGCATTTTTCCGCCCAAAGTCTACCTCTCCCTTTGTGTGTCGTATTTTAGTAGACGGTACTTCCATCCATCCGTTTTTCTTACCAAAATTCTCCATATCCACATGCCCTACCTCTGGTCCCAGCCCATGCTACTTCCAAAGGGTATCCTGAATCTGTGAGTTCTTTCCGTCTCTACTGTACCATCCTAGTCTAGGCTTCTCTCCCCTCTTGAAGATCTCTTCATACTGTATGGCCTCCAGTTTCCAAAAGGTGACATCCCCATGTTTCTGCTAGACTATAAGCTCTTTGAGGGCAGGGACCATAGCTATTTGGTTCACTAAAGCATTTAACACCTTGCACAGCACTCGGCACATGTTAAGAGCTTGATAAATAGGGAACAAATAAAGGCAACGATTACAGTTAGGTAAAAGCTATGTGAGAACTGGAAGGAAATGTGGAAAATTTAAAACTGGTGAAAAAAGGATTTCAAAAAAAATTTCTGATTCTGTTGTTGTATTGTTTGAGTAATAAAATAAATTTAAGACCTCTGTGTACACAGGATAATATGTGATCATGTGCTGAGATGTGTGTGCAGTTATAAATGCTGGGTCAAAGAAGGCAGCGTGAATGAGAGCTCAGCCATTTGTTGGAGGGGAGCTAGTGGGAGCAGTTTGGGCTTCGTTGCTATGCTCAAGTCTGCTACAGATGGTTGGACTTCAGTCCAGTTAAAGCTGGATTATAAGAACTTGCCTTCTCTGGCAAGAGTTATGGCTGAGAAACAGAATGTTTTGGAAATGGAAAGATGGAACTGACCCCAGGACTAGATTAGACATATCGAGCTGATTTGAGGACAAGAGACAACAGAGTTTGAGGCTGGCCATTGGAAAAGTCTGGGTTAAAGTCAGATGTATAACAGAAGATGGACACCTCCCAGGTTGTCTGGGGCTATAGCTCTTCATCATAGTTGGCAGGTTACCACTTCCTCTGCTCCCATCTTCCTAATGCTTAGCCCACCTTCCCACCAGATACCCTTCATGCACCTGCTGCCAAAGGGGTCCACCATTGGCATATTCATTCCTTTAATTTCCTTTTTTTCTAACCTTCATTTTCTTTTTTTTTTTTTTAACTGAAATACAGTCACATCGAACACTGTGTAAGTTTAAGATGTACAATGGGTTGGTTTGATACATTGATATATTGCCATATGATTACCACCGTAACATTAGCTAACACCTTTATCCCATCACATTACATTTCCTTTTTTGTGGTGGGATAATTTTCCTCTTTCAACATGAGAACTGGCTGCCTTTTTTCTTTAGATAATTCATTTGGGAAAAAGTTGCTTTGGGGGAAATTTCAAGATTTTCTCTTTGTGTCCATTTGTGTACACACACATACACACAGCCTCCCACTCCAAAACTCTGATCGTATGTTTGCCCACAAACAAAACCTTAATTTTAAGTAGACTTCATAGGTCACCTTCTTTAAAACTATAATCTAACAACAGTACCATTAAGAAATAAAGAAATGAAAAATGTATCTTAGCACCTGGGAAATCAAGGTACATCTTCTTAAATAAACCCTGGCCCAAACAGAAACAAATGAAAAAAAAAAAAATCATGTGTTTGAATGGGAATACTTAATATCATAAATATATAAGATCTCCTAAAACTAATGCATCTATTTAATACAATTCCAATTAAACTCATAGTCTCCTCGCCCCCTTTGGGTAAGATAATCTTAAAATTTATATGGAAGAGCAATGTCTAGGAGATGCTAAGAAAATTATGAAAATAAAGATAAATAGAGTTTGTCTTTTCGGATGTTAAATATATTTAAAATCACAGTAGTAAAAGCTTGACATAGGACTAGAAGTAAATCAATAGATAATTGGAACAGAGCAGAATTCAGACATAGATTCCAGATACATGGTAACTTAATATATGACAAAAGCGGTATTTCAGTTCAGTGGGAAAAGGAAGGTATTTTTTTAAGTAAATGGTTATGACATAGCTGATTAGTCATCCAGATAAAAATAAAGTTGGACCCTTATACATAAAAATAAATTCCAGATAGATTACAGATAGAAGTTTAAAAAAACAAAACAAAGATCACAATTTTGTATTTGTCTATAAGCTGAAGTTTGGGAATAACTTTATAACCAATGCAAAAACATGACGACATAAAAACACATTGTGTGGGGTAAAAGATACCACACATGCAAGTTGTAAGACAAACAGATTAGGAGAATATGTGCGTCAGAAATATGACAGATAAGGATTAATATCTATACAGAGCGCTCTTAAAAATTGATAAGGAAAATACAGAGCAGAAAAATGGTCCAAGAATATGAATATGTGATTCACAAAAGGGCAAATCAAATAGTCAAAACGTCTCTTTCTTTACATCAGCAGTCTGAGAAGTTCTCCTTCTCTGGCATGTCAAAGGGTGAGTTCACTTAAGGCTCGAGGATGGATGGAGAGGGTACCAAAACAATGACATGGTTCCTGAATCTTCTTCTTCCCCACACAGACTACAGTCACTGTGGTGGGAAGCTTCCCTCCCAGACGCTCGGAGTGGGAGTGTGTGGTGAAGAACCTGGACACAGGCAGGCAGCTCTGCGGGGGTAAAAGTCCACCAGGCAAGACCTGCACGTGCAGCATCCCCACCAGAGCGACCTACAAAGGTAGGCAGACTCTTTGCTAGTTTTTTGTTTGAAAGTGAAGAAGGCAGGAGAACCTTCTGAGTCCAGATGGCCCAGGAAGCGAGTTGAATGTGAGGGAGTCTGTACAGTCCCACCCTATAGATTCATTCTCTGCCTACCTCCTGCTCTTCCTCCTCCCAGGACTCCAGCACCCCACTCTTACATGTGAGTGGAGAATGACAGAGGGGGGGATGCTCGAGATGACAGTGGGGTAAAGCTAGAGATCATTGGGCTGCCCCTACCCGAAGGGTTCAGATAATTCAGAGATCGGAAAAGCTGGGAATGCCCTTGATGAGATGAGAAAATAGAACAGCTAATGTTCTATCATCTTAAGATCATTGCATTCATTCAGAAAGGAAGTATTTATTGGTATCTACTATGTGTTGGGCACTGAGCTAGGTGCTAGGGACACAGTGACCAAAAAAGACAGACCTGGTCCTTGCTCGCAGTATTTATAGCTTCTTGGGGTAGAGACAAGTAGGTGACTTGTTACAATGAAGCATGTAAATGCATAGAGAGCCATGGGAAGTAGAGGAAAGGGGCACCTAACCGAACCTGGGAGGTGGCTGAGGGAACGAGGAAAACTTCCTAGAAGATGAATAGAGTGGAGCCAAAGAAAAGGGGGAAGAGCATTCCAGGCAGAGACCAACTAGTGTGATGGCTAGAAAGAGAGGAAAAAAGCTTTGTTTGAGAAGCCATAAGAGGTTCTAGATGGTTCAGGCAAATGGGGTAGGGACAGATGGAAAGCAATAGATACCAAAGAAGGCACAGAGTGTCTGGTGTAAAGAACCATTTACAATCAATAAATTTTTGTTGAATGAATGAATGAATGAATGAATGAATGGCTGCAGGTGGAGGTTGGCTAGGAAAGGAAAGGAGTGAGCTGTGAAAAATCAGATAGAAGGAAAGCTGTTGGGGTGATCCTGGTGGGGGTGACCGTGAGAGCAGGTGCAGAGACAGGGATGGAGAGAAGTAGGCAGATTCCAGAGAATCTGGATGGTTATGAGTTATGGTGGACACACTGAGGATTCAGGAATCCCCGTGGGAGAGAAAGACTAGAAGTAGGGTCATAAGATTGGTGCAGGCTTCCTAAAAAGGGGGAAAATCATGATGGAACTGAGTTTCGTGGCGAGAACTGGTGTTACTCAGTTCATCCCAAATCTCTCCAAAGGGAATTCGGTGCACCAGGCCAGAGACCCAAGCTTAAAAAATGCCTCTCAGCCACTGGGCTCTTGGTGACTGGGATCGAACAGCTTGGAAAATGATTTCAGTTCTCCATTTTTCTTTGTTTACCCTATGCAGCCTTTGAGATAGGCTTCTAGTTAATTTTGCTCATTATAATGCAGATCTTACTCATGTATAAAATCTGTTTTTCAAGTATTTGAGATCACCTTGTAAAGCTCTTAGGTCACATTTAGAGCCTCCATCCGTTGCGCCCGACTTCTGCCTGCCCTTTTCTTGGAATGCCTTGCATATTCTGAGCCAGCAAACAAACTCCCATCCCACCTCGTGCATTCAGCCAGCCGGTGGCCATTGCCAAACCTCTGTCCATGCCCTCACCCCTTTCATCAAATCCTGTTGCCCTTCTGCTTTGAAACAGTGGAGGAAGAGTCACTTCCTTCCTAACGGTCCAAGCTATTCGGGCACCCCCATCTGCGTAGCCAGGTGCTACATGGAACTCAAACGACTCATGGGCTGTTTCCTTGAGTCCTGTCATTGTTGGGTTTTTCCACGTAAGCCATTTTATCTCTTGCAGAATCACTGTAAATGCTGCCAGAGCAGAGATCAAATATATTTGTTTCCTTGTGATATTTCCCAGTAGTGTTTTGTGCATGGCTGACCTGAAGAAAAGTACAACTTTTCCTGGTGTTCATCACTGAACATTGTAGATTCCACTGAAGTGTGTTTTCCCTGGGAGTCTCTCTGTGCTTCCTGTCCGTATGTCCGTTCTACTAACATTTACAGCTGACGGTTATCCTTTCGTATATAACCACTTCATGTGAGCGGAATTGTATGTGGTATCCTGGCTTTCAGAATGAATTTTATCGCTGTAGAGAAGTATCTTAAGTTAAGGGTTCTCAGACTTTGGGAATCACACACTAATAAAATTTCACTATAGAAAAGTAAAGGGTGCCAACAAAGTTATGCCAACTTCTTTTTTGGCTAACTGAAGCCTTTCATTTTTAAAGTCTCATCCTCTGTCTCCATTAACTCATAAAAGGAAGACAGTATCCTCCCAAATGGATGACACTGAAAACCTCACCAAGGAGCACCGGCCCCTGGACATACTGGGCTTCGAGAGGGCAGCTCCAGGCTCTGGCACCCAGCCCCAGCTGGATACAATCATGTCATGGGGGACGTTGCCCACCACAGAGTCCCAGAGGCTCTCCAGGTGTGTTAAGTCAGGATATCGAGGAGCGTGTCTCTGGGATCTGTTTTCATCAGCTTCTCAAGTGATTCTGATACACCCCTGGGATTTGGAAACACCTTGGATAGAATATAGAAGTTAAGGACATACAGGAACAATGACATTTCTCTAATGCTGATTGAGCACGGTTTTTATCTTTCTTGTTACTTTATTCTTTTGTGGGGTTTCTACCCAGTGAGTATGGTTTTCCAAAGCAAATAAGAAAACTTTTTATCATAGATTTGGCAACAGTTGACTCCAAGAGGATCATGGAACCTAGCCCATGGGAAGCACACTTAGAGTCTGTTAGGCAAATATCGGCAGGGTGAATTTTGCTGAAGCTACAGGATTTTCGTCTCCCAACATTCTGGTTATCATGTTCTAGGCAGTTCTTGCTCGGTGACTTGTTTTATTCTTATGCCGTGGCCAATTACAAGCTGAGATAGTGATCCCGGGGAGAGTATGAGATGTAAATGGGCTGTAAAATGGCTTTTTCCTAGTGATTATCCATGGGAGGCTGGGAACGCGAGGTGGGCCTGGGTCTGTTTGGAGGCTTGTGCTTGCACTTTGGCTGCCTGACGCAAACGGCCCCCGGGAAGGAACCACATGCCGACTGAAATGTTAGCCAACAGCTGGTACACCCCACCCTCTGTGCAAAGGAGGCAAAAATATTTATTTTTTGCATTTACAGCTTTGCTTGACGTTAGCGGGACTCCACCATAAATGACATTTTTTTTCCCCTTTGCTCCAGATGTTTTGGTTGTCAACGTGACATTCTCCGTCGGTTCTTGGCATTTATCAAAAAGATTCAACTTTACCAACTGCTCGTCATTAAGAGAGTAAGATTTTATTTGAAATTTAAATATTCTTTCATTGGTTTTAATTTATTTATTTGCTTTATGCCTCCATTTCCTCCTTAAAGAACTCTTTTGTGGAGTAGAACTTTCTAAAGGGCCTTTTGGAGCACGGCTTAACAGGAGATAGGAGGGCCCCTGAGCTAATAAGCTGGCGCGTTCAAGCCCTAATAAGTAAGGTGCAGCAGCTAAGGAACAAACAGCTGTGCTTAAGTGTTCCTACCAACAGGGAAATACATTTTCCCCAGACCAAGAGATGCCTTGGAGTGAGTGCGGGGGCGGGGGGGTGGTGGCAGCTGTTATGTTCTCCCCTGATCAGAACGGCTTTGGGAATTTGAGTCAAGGGAGAGGGTATGAGCTCACGTGAGGCAAGGGAAATCAACAAGGAGAAGGACAAGATGAAATCTCTTCCATTGAAAGAACATGTTAATTCCCACCCAACCCACCCCTCTACCCCCGCCAACCTTTTGGTACCACCTTTGGCCATGTTGGGCTACGTACCCCCCTGAGTTAGGGCTACACCGCACTCCTTGGTTCTAAATCAGAGAGAAGACAGGGAGGAAACATGTTTCTCAGATTCCTGATTTTCCAGTTGAAAGATGGGTTGGAGGTTCCTATGGAAACAACGGAAAGCTGTATTATTAGTGATTCTGTAGTTCATTCAGTCATTTGATTGACCAACTCTGTGGGTATCGGATGCGAGTTTCTTTTGGCCTGGCCTGAGAACCACTGTTGCTAGGGGGAAAATGAATTCAGGCTTGAAACTGAGTTGGAGGGCCCCTCTACCACTAGCGGAATAGAAGCCCCTGGACCCTGTCTTCACCACTGTGGCACTCTTAAAGAGGGATCAAATTCAGTTATTTCTAACAAATTGGATGCATTTTGGGAGGGAGAAGAAACCAAACCTGATACAGAAAACCTCAAAAGTCTGTGGAAATAGGAAAAAGGGGAGAGAGTTACAAAGAATTTTATAGCTTAAAGAGGGCTGAAACATAAAGCAGGTCCTCCCTCCCCAGTGTAGAGGCCAGGCGGAAGAAGTGACTGGCCCCGGGTCCCACAACTAAGTAATTACGAACCAGCTGCTCAGACCCACAGCTCCCCAGAGGGTGAGTGTGCCCTGTCCTTGAGTACTTACTTCCCTCAGTAAAGCACTCAGTACAGGACTCACACCGAAGGGGCAGCGAATGCAAATCACAAGCCTGCTTCTAGCTCAGTTAGGTGGCTGGATAAACACTTCGGTGAGCCTGCGTTTCCTCCTCCCATCAAAGCTGCAGTTTTCTCTAGATGGGAGTCACAGAATGCTTTGGCATTCCTTGAAGACTCTAAAATACGAGCGTTGTCCCCCGCTCCCTGCACTGGCCCTCTTGCTGTCCCAGGCCGACCTCCCATGGCTGTGTTTCCAGACCAACCTCCGTTTCTGTTTTTATCGTTCCTTCAACTTCGATTTTTCTATGACAAGCTTTTCAAGTCCTCTGCTGTTATCCTCACGTGATAGGTTATTTGATTAGTAGACACAGTTCTTCCTTAATTTGATTAAAAAGCAAACGGTGGCACCCCCTTCCCTCTACTTGCCAGGCGATACTTTTGGTCTCACCTCTTCCAGGCAGTTGAGGGGTGTTACTAGTCCAGCGAGGGAGGGCATGCTGATCTAGGGGTGGAGACCGGGAGATCAGTCTCCAGAGGGAAACTTCCCTGAGGGTAGACAAATAGCAGAACCCGATTCAGAAACAGAGTTGGTGGGGTTCCTGTTATCTGCCAGCTTGGCAGGTGACCCCAGCTTCCAGTTTCCATGGCAACAGCCCTGCAGGTGTGATGATGGTCCATCAGCCCTGGGGGCTGCCCAGAGCAGGGCACAAATTCCGTGCTCTAGCCCCAGCCTCAGAGGACTGTCTTCTCTCCCCTGGGTTCATCAGTCTGTCCAGGGCTTTGGTTGTTGTTGTTGTTGTTTACCCATCTTCTTTTAAACGCACACCACATCACAGAGGGAAATTCTAGGATATGAACATTTTCCTAAAAATGCAGGAATTAAGTTGGATTTCCGTGTTGCCAGATGCCCAGTATGTATTGGAACTGGCTGTGCTTGGTGTAAAAGTGAGAGAAGGTGTATCCACCCCTTCACAGCTTGTGACCCTTCTGATTACAAGCGAAACCAGGTAAAGTACCATTTTTGTTATTATAAGGTTTTACCAAAAATAAATGTTGGTGGCCACCCAGTCCCAGTCTGTCTTTTGTGTTTGCTTCAAGCTCTAAATTTCCCATCTGTTTGGATGTTGAAGGGCTGTTCTTCATTTCAGGAACACTGTCAGGTTGCTGTTGAGAAACGGACACCACCCAAGACAGCAGGAGGAAGATTCATGGAGAATAAGAGTAATAGGACCCATCAGGGCTTGCAGGTCAGACCCTGGTTTTGGACTCAGAATGGAAAAAAATTCCCCTTTTAAATGACAATAACAACTCCTCCTACTTTGGGTTCCTTTTAAAAATTCCTTGTTTTACTTTCTACCCAAATTCCCTTTTTTACCTTTGATTTTTAACCAAGTTTCACTTAATTGGCTCAGTACATGAAAGGCTGCACACTCACATAAAAGAAATTAAAATTCAGTAATTATGAAAAATGATATCGTTCCAGTAGGAGTAGAATTTTCAAGGTGACTCCACGGCTCACTCTGGAGGAGTTAGAAGGAAGCAGATAGCACCCGGCCCTGAGGGGATTTCAGTTTGAACCTCGCATTGCGATGGCATTCCTGGGGGTTACGTGGGGTGAGGGGAGTTTATGCAAAGTATACAAACTCCTTCAGATTGCCTCTCTTTACTTTGTAGAGGTGATCTGACCCATAGTTAATAGTGCCAAAGCAAAGCGTTGTGTCTTTTTATTTATTTATTTATTTATTTATTTCTCTCCATTTCCCCAAAATTTTCTTCATGAAAAAATATTTTCTATGAAATTTCCTTGGAAATTCCTCTGATTTTCTTCATAGCACAGCACCAAGTTCAACCAACAGACATGTTTGAAAAGAAAGGATATGACAATCTAAACGTTCTGGGCAAAGAATAGTGGCTGTGTTGGGAGTGGCTGGCTTCACTGAGCCAACAGGACTTAATTGAGCAGGTACTATGTGGTGACAAACAAAAAAGGATAGGTTCTTGCTCTTATTAATCTGGAGGTCTAGCAGGAGCAGACAAATTAAAACACAACATTTCTTTTTCTAAAAAAAGTCTCCGTTTTCTATTTCATGATTAATCTATGGTTTTGATTTATCCATTTGCTGGATAAATATTATCCACTTAAATAGGTCAAGTGCCAATATGGATCAGTAGCACATTTTTCATCGCTCATGAAAAGTTGATAGTAACTTTAGGTGAATAACTAACAGGCAGAGGGAATGTGAATCAAAATGGATTATGAAGTTAATTAAAGGCATTAGAAAGGCTTGGTGGGCCGATATCTCCAGATTTGAAGTCTTCGAGGTTTTATTAAGGGATGGGCTAGTACTCTTCTCTTCCCTTAGCTTATAAAACTAAGACGTAATGACAGGTATTTGGATCAAGGAGGCAGTGGCTTTTTAAAATAATCAAATTTCTCTTTTGTTGTTGTTTTAGTTGTTTCTTTTCAATTTTAGTAAGGTACACCTCACAAAATTTACCACCTTTGCCACTTCTAAACGTATGGTTCAGAAGTGTTAAGGACATGCACACTGTTGTGCAACCATCACCACATTCCATCTCCAGAACACATTTCATCTTGCAAAACTGAAACTTTGTACCCATTAAAAAATAACTTCCCGTTTTCTTTCTTTTTTTTTTTTTTTAAGATTTTATTTATTTATTCATGAGAGACACAGAGAGAGAGAGAGGCAGAGGGTGAAGCAGGCTCCCAGGGAGCAGGGAGCCCGATGAGGGACTCGATCCCAGGACTCTGGGATCATGACCTGAGCCGAAGGCAGACGCTCAACCATCTGAGCCACCCAGGCGCCATTTTCTACCCCCTCCCCTCCCTGCCAGTCCCTGGCAACCACCATTCTACTTCCTGTCTCTACGAATTTGGTTACATTAGGTACTTCATCTAAGTGGAATCATATAGGAATTGTCTTTTTGTGATTGACTTATTTCATTTAACATAATGTCCTCAAGGTTCATCCATATTATTAGCATGGGACACAATTTCCTCCCTCTTGAAGGCTGAAAAATATTCCACTATATGCATATACTACATTTTGTTTATCCGTTCATCTGTGGATGGTCACTTGGGTTGCTTCTACCTTTTGGCTATTGTAAATAATGCTACTATAAACATGGGTGTACAGATATCTCTTGAGGGCCCTATTTTCAATCCTTGTGGGTATATATCCAAAAGGGGAATTGCCAAATCATACAGTAATCCTGTTTTTAACTTGGGGGGGAAATGTCATGCTGTTTTTCATAGTGTCCTGCCATGTTACATTGCCACCAACACTGTACAAGCATCCCAATTTCTCCACATCCTTCCAACTCTTGTTATTTTTGTGGTTGTTTTTATGGTAGCCATCCTAAGTGGGTGTAAGGTGGTATTTCATTATGGATTTGAGTTTCTTTTCCCTAAAGATTAGTGATATTGAGCATCTTTTATTGTGCTTGTTGGCCATTTGTGTATCTTCTTTGGAGAAATGTCTATTCAAGTCCTTTGCCCATTTTTTAATCAGGTTGTTTGTTGTTGATTTATGGTTCTTTATATATTCTGGATATCAACCCCTTATCAGATACATATTTGCAAATATTTTCTCCCATTCCATAGGTTGCCTTTTCAATCTGTTGATTGTATCCTTTGATGCACAGAAGTTCTTAACTTTGATGAAGTCCAGTTTTTCTTTCTTTTTTTTTTTTATTTTGTTGCCTGTGCTTTGCGTGTCCTATCCAAGAAATCATTGCCAAATCCAATGTCATGAAGCTTTTCACCCATGTTTTCTTCTAAGAGTTTTATAGTTTTAATTCTTACATTTAGATCTTTAGTCCATTTTGAGTTAATTTTCATATATGGCATAAAGTAAGGGTCCACTTCCATTCTTTTCCATGTGGATATCCAGTTTTCCCAACATCACTTGTTGAAAGGACTGTCCTTTTCCCATTTAATGGCGTTGGCGCCCTTATCAAAAATCATTTGACCAGATATGCAAGGGTTTACTTCTGGCTGTCTGTTCTGTTCCACTGGTCTACATGTCTGTCTTTATACCCACATCACACTGTTTTGGTTACTATAGCTTTGTAATAAGGTTTGAAATCAAAGTGTGAGTCCTTCCACTTTGTTCATCTTTTTCAAGACTGGGAAAAAGTTAAGCTTTTATTTTGAGGTAATTGTAGATTACATGTACTTGTAAGAAAATAAGACAGAGAGATCTTTTGCCCAGTTTCCCCCAATAGTAACGTCTTGCAAAACCATCACACAATATCAAAACCAAGGTATTGACAGTGACAAGAGTCAAGATACAGAACAGCTCTATCACCACACCCCCTTTCCTCCTCCCTCCTACTCCCCATTTCTGACCCCTGGCATCTACTAATCTGTTCTCCATTTCTATAATTTTATAATTGCAAGGAGTCTATATAAATGGAATCATTCAGACATGCCCTTTTGGGATTGGCCTTTTTAACTCAACATAATTCTCTGGAAATTCATCCAAGTTCTTCTGCAGATCAATAGTGTGTTCCATTTTATTGCTGAGTGGTAGTCCAGGCAATGAGTTTTAAAAATTTCTTTTATGTTAGTGTCTTCCTGTGCCTTTTGACCTTTGACACTGGGTGGTTAAAAGAACTGGCTGGGTTACCAAGTGGGCAGGACAAGGTTATTTGAACATGACCAAAAGCCCAGGCCTGTCTCCAGTGCTGCTGTGTGAATGACCCTTCTTAGTTTGGAGAAAGGTACTTTGTTGATACTGGAAGGTTTTCTTTAAATATGTGGCTCAGAACAGAATCTTGATTTTGGTTCATAGCGAGTGGTATAGTATTACTGGTCACAGGAGGGATTTCTCATGCTCTGGCGTATACTGCTCTCTTTCATTATCATGTGGATGTGTAACTCACGTTTCCAGTTTGGGTCCTGTGTTGGCCTTGAATGAAGTACTGAACACTTTTCCTAGCAGAGAAGGCACTGAGAGCTCTCCCTCAATGCATCTTCCCACATCACCCATGTATCGAGTGCTTCCTGCGTGCCAGGGGCTGGGATGGTGCAGACATACCGGGATAGGAATGGTGCAGACATGCTTTTAGGCTTCATGATGCTGAGCTGGAGTTGATTCTTACTACAGGTGTATATTGAGCACCTAATCGATGCCATTATATTGAGCTTCATGGCTACAATGAGGAGGACACAAATGAATCCGGCACATGTCTTGCCATCAGTCTCAAGAATCTTGTACATGAGTACATAAGTAAGAATATAAGATAAAAAATATTAACATAGGAGAAGTACCAGAAAGTACACAATTTCAGAGAGCCTGGCTTGTTCCCGCAGCCTCGGCTTAGTCATTCCTGTTTATTTAAGCCCAGTGCCTGGCAGCTAAAAACACTTAATCAGTGTGGTTGGTTAAGGTTTTGATGGATGGATGGATTGATAGACAGAGATGGCATTTCAGCCAACAGTTGAGGGACGAGACTCATGGAGACAGAGGAGTGGGTATTCTGAGCAGAGGGGCTAGTATTAGCAAAAGATAGTGGGTCACCAGAAAATTTCAGGTCCTCCATACCTGAGGTCCAGGAGACCCAAGTAATTCGGTCTGGAGCAGAAGGGTGCAGGAAATCCTGGGACACAGGGCTGACATCTGTGGGGCCTTACACACCAGGCCGAGGAGCTTGGGTTTTGTTCTTCAGCAGCCACAGAATGCTACTCAAGACATTTATCTTTTAAGGTGCGAATTTGCTCATCCAAGGACGTGGCACTTAGGAGACACGAGTTTCGGGTGTCTTGGGTTGGGCACGTTGCCCTCATGCTGTTTCATGCCCCTATCCCCCATCCCTTTATCCCAGCTACAAATATGTGTTGTCATTTATCGGGGAGGGGGCTGCATTAAGGAAAGGCACCACCAAAACAGGGAAATGAACTCAAAAGCCCATGTTTGCCCTTTGGGAGAGAAGTATTTTCAGCTATAGAGGCCAGTCTCTCTCAGACGGTTGGCCCTATGGCCCTGCGCTCACCTCTCTTCCTTTTCTTAACAGTCTTCCACCTGCTGCGAGAACTGGCCACTCTCCCTCTCCTGTTCTCACAGAAAGGTTGTGCAGATCTATGATATGATGTTGTTCTCATATTTGTTATTCTTCGCTGTCTGCTTATCTCGGTCGGGTGGAAATCCACCCTACAAAGCCATGTCTCCTGCTCTCAAGGGACCTACATTCACAGTGTTCTTTCTTTGTCTTCTTCACACCC